TGGAGGGGGGGGCGCGAGCGGGCGGCCGGGGAGGGGCCGGCATCGCCGCCGCAAAATGAGCCTACTGTCGGCCATCGACACGAGCGCCGCCTCGGTGTACCAGCCGGCCCAGCTGCTCAACTGGGTCTACCTGTCGCTGCAAGACACCCACCAAGCGAGTGCCTTCGATGCCTTCCGGCCCGAGCCGCCTGCCGGCGCCGCGCCCCCAGAGCTGGCCTTTGGCAAGGGCCGTCCGGAGCAGCTGGGCTCGCCCCTGCACTCCAGCTATCTCAACAGCTTCTTCCAGCTGCAGCGCGGAGAGGTGGGTGCCCCTGCGCGCCCCCGCCCTCCGCCCCACCTCGCGGGGCCTTTTCCTATCTGCCCTGCTCTTCCTAGCCAGGCCCGGCTGGACTCCGTATTGCCCGGCCCTGCTTTGGCTTCGTTTCGCCTTGCTCTGCCAAACTCTATGCCCGATGTCCCCGGGGCGCCGGGAGCGCGTCACCTCCCGGCTGAGGCCGATCCCGAGCAGCTCAGGCGCGGGAGGGGCCCTCCCCACCTCCCTGCCCCGGGCGCCCTTTTCGACGAAGTCAGAGGAGGGCGGGTGGGCGGGGGGTTCCGGATTCTCTCCAGACCGCCTGGGCGCGGCCTGGGCGGGGAGCCCCTTCCAAGTGTCCTTCCCACGCCCAACCCCATCCCCCTCTTGGCCGTCGCTGTCTGGGACCGAGATTCTGCTCCAGGCTGTTCGGGAGCTGCCAGAAGTCTTTTCTCCTCCCATTTCGGGGGTTCCTGACTCGAGGAGCGCCCTGGAGAAAAGTGTCTCCTTCAGATCTCACGCAGGGACCCCCAGATACATCCTCCAGCTACTCCCCTCCCCCAGCCACATAGGAAGTGGTTTTGAGGGCTTGACCCCACCGACTGCGCTGCCCCCCACCCTCCCAGCCTGGACGGAAATGAAAGGGAAATCCTCTTGAGCTCTTGGGAGGGGGTTAGATAGTGGGGAGCGTTTCCAGCTGCCCAGTGCCTTGTCCAGAAACCTGGGCAGCGGAGTTGCAGAGTCTGCCTGTTGGGTGCATTCTGGTAGAAAGTCTAAGTAAGGAGAAGTGCATCTTCCCCAGTAGGTTGATACACAGATTACCAGGACCTCCTCATCCCCTTTGAGGAGTCTTATCCAGAACCCTCCTAGATACCACCCTTTTCCCCTCTGGCAGCAGTCCTCCTCCTCCTCCTCTCCCTCTCCCACTTACCCCCTCCTCATTTGGGAATTGCAGATAACCTTTCTGTGGCCTCCACTAGCTCTCCTCATGGAAGCTCGCTGCAAAAGTTCAGGGGCAGGAGTGGAGGAGAAGATACACCCGAGGGTCCCATTTCTTCTGGACCTGGAAGTCCTGGTTAGTTTTAGGAAAGATAGAGACCTGAATGGGTTGACAGAGAAGGCCTTTGTGTGTAAAAGTATGCTGGGGATGAGGAGAGGCCCTAGAGGGGTCCAACCCTGCCATTATTAGGGGAGACATGGACATACAGACAACTGGCCCGATGCCTAGAGGTGACCCAACACTAGTGGAGTCAGGGAAGGATTGGTTGACCTGTGGGGATAGAGCTGGTGGTGGACCTGTGAGGCATAGTTGAACAGGGTAAATCTGGAAAGGCACCCCTCGGTGCCAGGCAAACGCATGTGTATGCCAAAGCTCTTTGCAACCCTAACACACACTCTCCACTGGTGGAATTGTTCCTGGCTGGCATTCTTTAGTTCTCTTTGGGGACTTTGCCGACTTTTGAAAGAGCTGACTTTGTGAACCGGTGACTTCGGAGAACAGTTCACAGGTGTTTCTTCAGTGCCTGGGTCTTCTTGGTCATGTGTTCTCTTTCCAAACATGTGTTAAGCTCCATGGGGGCCCCTGAGGGTTCAGTTGCCAACCAGTGGGAGCCACAGACTAGAAGACAGACAAACTGGTACAATGTGAATTGGTGGTGATTTCATGGGTATTGTGGGAGCCCCGAGGGAGAAGGGTGACCGTGACCTACAGGTCTAGTCGAAGTTCCTGATCAGTTTCTATTAGTTTCTTTTGCTCCCACCCTGTGGTGATGTTCTCCAAATGTGGGTGTTTACTGAGAGAGCCTGGGAATTTTTGACCATCGAGAGTCCCTTTGGGAGCAGGATGTTGTGCATCCTCTTGGAAATTTCTGGCAACCAGAATCCCTCCTGCCACTTTGCTGCTGCTTGCCTCAGTTTCCCCATGACGAGGTACATTGTTTTGCCAAGTCAGTGTTAAAGGAGTCGATAAAATGAGCTAGAGCAACGAAGGAAAAAGTCTCGTAAATACCACCTGCTGTGGGGGAAGCCCTTGTCTCTGTCTGGACCTCAGTTTACCCATCTGTTCAATTTAGTTTCTGCTGTCCCCCAGGGTGGTAAGTGTGGGGTTTGAGAGTTGTACAAAATAGGAGGGGATGTGCCTAGAGACAGTCTGGGTTGGGTGGGGGGTGGGGGAGTGGGGAGGAAGAGCTTTTCCGCACTCATAGGTCAGTAACTCCCTGGAGGGGCTGCAGGGCTGTTTCTGCTGACTTCCAGAAGACTCTTTTGGCTTCAGGCTCGCTTGCTTTCACCCCCACTCGCTTAGTCTCCTAAACCCTCTTGGAGCCACAGCTGTGCTCCTGAGGACAGGCCTCTCCTGCGTCTAGGGCTTAGCGGGTGACCTAATATGGCTCCAAAATAGCAACTGGCTGAGAAGGCAAGAAAAAATACCCCCCACCTGAATGCCACCAGGGGGCTGTGTGGAGAGGAAGCAGGTCGTGTGTGGGCTGGAAGGGACTCTGTGAAGGGACCCGGGGCCCAGGAGCACCGCCATTCTGTTGGCGGCCTGGCAGGCCCAGTGGCAGTGCCTGCGGATGTGACTTGCATGCTGACCATTGACCACGGCCTGTCTGCGCCATTCCGTGTGCCAAGAGCCCACCCCCTCCTGCACCACCCCCCGGCTGCTCCCACCACAATAGCAAAACACCATGAATGCAGCTGGGACTTGGGCGGGGGGGCCGAGGACATGGGGGGCACAGAAGCCCATTGTGCCCCTGGAATCTCGGCTCTGGAAGCTGAAGATAAGCCAAGGGTTCTGAGTGGAGCACTGGCCCTGAGAGCAAAGGGGGATATGGCGGAGTTCATATAAAAGTACAGGAGCAAGCATGTCAGGAGGTGACTTGGATGCTGGGGGTGGGGGGCTCCTCAGCTTCTCAGTTTACACTGAGGGTGCCAGACCAGAGCAGGCGCAGACGCTGAGGTGTTTCAAAAAGTCTCTGGGACTCAAAACGGGACCCTATGAACTTGTTTCAAATGCTGATCAGTAGCAACACTACATATCTTTGGAGAGAAACTCCTGAGGACCTTGACTGAGCCCCACATTGCTCTCCAGGTACCCAAAGACGTTCTTAGAGGGTATGCAGAGTGGGTGGCATGGGCGTTCCCTGACCTGCTTTGTTTGCAATAAAATTCATAGCTTTGTGAGAGTTGTGAATCTCTAGTTCCAGAAAGTAGAGCTCTCCCCTTGCGGAGTGTCAGCTCTTAGGCCCCTCAGAGGCATGCTCAGACCCCTCCTAGAGAGCCCCTGGGACTGTTATACCACAGGTCAGATTCGTGGGGGGACAGTTGTGGGCTGAAGGTGCAGTACCATGGTGCAGCAATGCTTTGTGGCAGCCAGAAGCAGCTTTGGGGTCAGATTTATTTAGAAAGTGTAGCATATAGTCCTCCCCTAGCCACCTACCTTTCCCCTTAGCACAGAAAAGGCTCTGAGAAGTCCCACAGTAACAGCCCACTGACCTCTCTTCAGCCCCCAATTTCCCAAATCCAGAGTATGTTTCGGACACAGAGTACCCGCCTGGGTAGAAGCACAGGTTTCTGCAGCACTGAAGATGCCCTGCTCTTTGCCATCCATTGGAGACTTGAGAATGGCAGTAAGGGTGCTGTGAGGCTTGACAGACAGACCCCACCCAGGGCCTTCTGCACAGACAGGGTATTAGAACTCTTAGAGGAGCAACTGGATCGTCCAGCTTGAAAAAGTTCCCAGGTCTCAACAGTCTTCTGAACATTTTAATGAGCCACCTATAGGTGGAGATGAGCCAAGGGGCCCCAGGTGATGTGAACGTGCAGGACGAAGCCACATACCTGCACAAGGATGGCTGTTTACCTCGCTGGGGCTCAGAGAGGGCTTCAGGAGATGACGCCTGTCCACAGCAGCCTCTGTGGCCTGTGTGGGTGGATGGTGGGTGGCACCCCTGGGTCCTGCGAGGAAGTTGAGCTCTGACTCAAGCAAGGAGGACTGTCGTTCAAGGGCCTGTTGGCTGAGGTGGCCTGACCCTCCCTCCACCAAATTACATTGATTGGGCAAGTCTATACTCAGACCACACCTCGGGGACCTTCTGAGTCAGGTGGGAGGGAGCAGAGAGGCATCATCAGTACTTAGTAATTATCAGCGGCAAAGCGCCAGGGGCTGTCAGCACCAAGAGGAGAGCCCTGTAGAGAAGATGGCCTGTAAGTAGCAGCCCCTTGCTTGTGGGGTGCGCTGTCTGGCATCTCTTTCCTTGGAGCTCCCATTTTACAGGAAACAGAGGCCTGGTGGGTCAGGGGCAGAGCCAGACCAAGACGTCACCCGTATTCCTGTTACAGTTGTCTCTCTGGCCCATCCTGCTGGCCTCGAGGTTGCCTCTCATCTGGACCATGATCTGGACCCCAGAACAGGCAGTAACTTGGGGAGTTGTCAGGGCTCAGGGCCTCTGACATTTGCTCTTGATCCCATACTTTTTGAGGACTGGTAGGGACTGGTCATGATCACTGGGTGTCCTGCTCCAGCCACTCCCCAGAAATCCAGCCGGGGCTTCCCTGGGATGTGAATTCAAGGGTGGCCTAGTTGGGAGAGGCAGAGGAGATGGACACTGAGCACTTCCTGGCGCTTTTGTCTCATACCCTGGCCTGTGTGACGCTTTCCACTGTCCAGGTGGGGTAACAAAAGCTCTTCAAGGCACTGCCGGGCCATCCGTGTCACCCTGCGCTGATCGAAGTTTCTGAAAGCACCGAGGGGTGCTACTACTCCCAGCTTTTGCTCTTGCTCTGGCTTCTACCTCAAATGCTCTTCCCTACCTGGTACAAGGGATAACTTTCTTCTTTATGGCCTGCATGATGCCCCCTCTCTGAGATTACCTGACCGACCTGAGCAGCACAGCTCTCGCCTGAATATCAGTGCAGGTGACTTGTACCTGGGGCTGTAAAGCACACCTTCACGTTGACCTTGGCTGGGAGCAACGCCTCATGTGTCTGTCTCCATGTGCACTCAGGAGACG